ATTCAGAGAGATTCGGAAAGATTCAGCAATTCAGACATAGACACAGCTTTAAATGTTTTTTTCTACATACCTCAAGGTACCAAGTGGCTCATGAATGCTGTGATGGTGGGGCAGATGGAGCATCCCACAGGAGTGTTGGGGGGTGCCCAGGATGCTCGGCAGCAGACCCAGAAGTGGACCCACTTTCAGTCCACTTATGTGAGGAGCACACTGGGGGCCCCCCCCACACCCTCCAGGCTCAATGACTGGTGCCTCCTGGGTCTAGGGGGGTCACCCGTGGTCCCCTTGCAGCTGATCGCTGAGCGGGGGGGAACATGGGAGGGGGGCCATGAACTTGGTGGTGAACCCAGAAGTGGGCCAGAAGTATTTCCAGTCCACTTCTGGGTTCACTGCTGAGCACACGGGGGGTCCCCCCCCATGTACCTGTGGGATGCTCCATCCACCCCAGCATCACAGTGTTCACAAGCCATGCCTGGTACCTCAAGGTATGTAGAAAAACCATTTAAAGCTGTGTCTATGGCCGAATTGCTGATTCTCTGAATCAGCATCAAATCTTCAGATTCAGATTTGGCTGAATCGAATCGGACACAGTGATTCAAATCAACTAATCGAATCACCGTCCCCAGTTAGGGCCAAATCCAAATCAAATATGGGCCGTTTCACACACCCCTGATCTCCATGCCTCAAAATGGTGGCAGGGGTGCTTTAACTAAAGCCTGTTCAGTGAGCTTCATTTGAAGCACTCCCACTGCCATTTTAAAGTGCTGGGACACTGATACATGAGATGCGGAGGCTGCTGGAGTGTACAAATTAATATCCTCCAGCAAATTAATTGAGTCTGCTCCGACACGCTTTAATTACAGCACATCGGAGCAGCCTCTGGCATATCTACAGGCACCCCAAGTAATTCCTACATTGATCCTATAATTTTTGATTGGTACAGAGGACGTTTTTCAGAAAGACAGACTATTTTCATACTGTATTAAGATTTTTAGTCATGGAGAAACCATTGCATCCCTAGTTGGTTCAATGGTTAATTATTCGCATTGTGGGGGAAAAAAATTCACCTCATTTCTGTTCTGAATATTTCTTGGTAGAACTTTCAGCAGTTGGATGTTTTCATACCTTTGACTAGTATGTTAAAAGAGACCTTTGCTATCAAAATTTTTCTTCCCTTTTTGCTTATTAATGACTATGGGAATTATTATGAGAATGCTCTCATAATAACTAAAAATGGTAATAACTGAATAATTTGAAAATGCGAAAAGATTTGCATACATTTAAGATGACCTATTGCATTTTAAAACTGTTTTCTTGCCATTTCAGCACAAGAAGCCAAACTTTGAAGCCCTAATTTAGTCCCATTAAAGTCAGTGAAAGTTTTGCCTGAGAAAGACCTTTCTTTTTTCTATTATTACGTTTTGTAAGTTTTAAAGAAAGAAGAAAGCAGGCAGGTAAGCAAGCAAGAAACCTGGAAAATGTGGTTATCCAAATTGACAGCAGGACTACCCATGATTTGGAAATCTTTAATAAGTACAGACAGAATTCTCAGACTGAATCAGACCTGTGGTCTGCTCCTATATTCAATGTCACTCAGTGCAAGAAGCTTCAGAAAAAAGTACTAGGACCCTCATAATAGATAATAATAAATAAGTGGAACATAGGAATTAGCTAAAAAAATCCCATCTAAAGGTTAATGGGTGCTTACACCCAGAAGTGCAGGCACCTATATGCTTTAGAAATTATCCTATGTTAGCTTCAAATATTCTTATGCATATCAATATCTAATCCCTTTTCTGAAACCCTTTAACTTCAATGTCTTGTGACTCTAAGTTTCACAGAGTAATATAATATTTTTTAAAGCATTTCTTTTCTTAATTTTAATTCAGTTATCCTTCAGTTTAATTGACTGCTACACTTAGGTCTTGTTAAAAAGATAACACCAAATATACTTTCTCAGCACCTCCCTTAGGGGTACATTTATCATGTTTCCTTCTATTTATCTCCTCTCTAAATGGTGCCATTCTTTTCAGTATCTCATGTTCTGAAATTTTACCACCTAATCCTTTTGGTACTATACTTGCACCCAATTATTCTTGCCTTTTTGTTCGTTTGTTTGTTTGTTTTGAGAGGGGCAGAGAAATACCAGATCTCAACACAATGTTCAAGGAAAAATCTCCCACCAAGTTACAGAAGACATCACAAGGTTTCATTACTGTTTCCCCATCTCATTATTTTAGCTGTCAAAAAACAAACAAAATCACAGGAAAATAGTTGCACAATGACCACAGAACTTCAATATGCTGCAGACAGTGACACCAGAGTTATTCTGTTTTTGTTTACTTTGATCAATTTTGCCAGCATCCACAGCTCATTGTCAACATGATAACAGCACATACAAGCTTCTCAAATTATTCTGAACACTTTGCATTTGTCAACAAAGAATTTCACCTCCATCTTGCAACCCATTTGCCTATCTTTTTTACATCTTTCTCAGATTCCTCTCTGACTTCTCTAGGGTTGGTTATTCTAAATTTTCTGTGAACATCACATTTTGCCACCTTGTTGCTGTAAACCTCTCTATCCCATATAATTAATACAATATCCAAACTCTAGCTGTACAATGAATCCTTTATGATCCTCATGTTAAAAGAAGAATTGCCCATGAACTAGATTAAAGAGAACTTTCAACACTTCCCACTGTAATCTTGAGAGAGGTCTTTATGCCTCAATTATCTGTGAAATACAGATAATTCTTCCCAACCTCATGGAGGTGCTCATAAACCCAGTTCTGTATGCAAGAAATTCAGATACTAGGGAGAAAAGCACAGAAGTAGAAAGAAATATGATAACCTGCATACTGAAAATGAACCATTTAATTCCCCTTTTTATTATTATTTAAACAATTTTTTTCTTTACAGAAACCATATTTGTCTGTTTCTGTTTCATATTCATTTTAGTATTTTATAATACTCTCTATAGTTATAGTTTTAACTGGTTTATCTTGTACTGAAGTAAAGCTCGGTGGTCTGTAATTTCTTACCTCTATGTTTAAAAAACAACAGATAAAATGTGTACTACTCTTCAGTCTTGTGGCAGGTCTTATGAAAAAGCATACATCTATTAACAAGTCAAAGCCTTCAAAGATAGTTATGTGCCTAAACATTGAAAAAGATACCTGATGGGATTTTAAGTACGATTTAATGGGGTAGAATGGCTAAATGCAAAAGTATTTAAGCAATGAAATCAATAAGCGCCCCACTACTTTTGAAAATCCCACTACACACTTATCTTCAACTTTTGTCACTGCATGCATTTACACATGCACTTTACAGCACAGTTGACTAATTAGCTCTGAAGTAAAGTATTACAGTGTATATGTGTGCCAGTACTAGGGTGCAGTAAATTAATTAACTCCATTGTAGGATAGTACTGTTAGGTACAGTTTGGTGGAGTAAATTACTCTGCCATAGCATAGTACTGTCTCTAACAGTACTATCCTATGGCAAAGTAATTTACTCCACCAAAACACACACATAGACCTGACAGGGGCTGGCTGGGATATGAGGATGCTAACGTACAGTAGCTACCTGCCACCTAGCCCCGCACTTTAGTACCCTCATGCCCCAGGCAGCCTCTTCACTGCCCAATACTGCCACCCAGAGCTTGGGGCTCACCCCTGCCAGCCCCAGGCTTCTCCACCACAGTTCAAAGTGCTGCAATCCTGGGAATGCATGCAGACACTGAGCCCAGGAGCAATTTTTGTCTGATACAAACTTTGCCAGAGTTTATCATATTGCATTAATTGCATGTGTAAATAGACTCACTGAATACTTTCAATAATTTAGATCATATCTACCTAGATATTCCTAGGATGATGATCAGAGTAGTACAGGTCAAGTACAAACAACTGGCAAATGCCTTGTGACAGAAGTGGTATGATGTAACCATTTCCGTGCTGATCACTGGGACACCAGAAACATGGGACCCCAGCAATGAGAGCAATATAAGAGACTAACTCCTTTAGATTAGGTTTGTTTCATAGCACTTCTTTGTGTTAAACAATATGATTAAAGAGCATATTCATTTTTTTCCTCTTTCTGCTTCCTTTTTGTCTTAAGCATAGCTTCCCATGACTCAATTATTGGTATGTTTAAATAGCCTCCATGATGAATTAAAACACTGAAATTTCCACTTTTTCAGTTTAAGGTCTTTGATTTCCTCATTTTTCAAAATCTGTTCTCTGAAGTTTATCCCAACAGTACCTATTTTAGGTAACATCAATTTCCCCAGTACCCTTAAATTAATTGTATTACTTATGCAAGAGGCAAGGATTTCTTAGGGTGATGTCTTTTAATGGACCGACTAGGTAGTTGGAATAAAATTAAACAAGCTTTTCAATGTAAGGCATTCTTCCTCAGGTCTCTGATAATAGGAAACTAGGCATAACAAGTGAAGCACAGCCTTATTTAGTGGTTCATCTGTAGTTACTTCCCAACTCCTGCGTCTTCATTAGGATTAAGGCTATACCTATATGTCTATGTTCCTCTGATGGCAAAACCTCTTGAAGTAGACAGCAGCTTGGAACACACTCTCCCATGAGGTCTGTTGGCAGCTGTGCTCCACTGGCATATAGTACACACTGGGAAAACACCAGCTACAGAAGATGAAGTAACTCTGTAGCAAAAGGGAGGATTCTGTTGTCACAGAAGGCAAGGGTCGATATACTTAAAAGGGCTTCTTGTAAAACTTTGTAGTGTAGTCTAAGACTAAATTGAAAGTAGACTCTCCTCTCGTACACCATACAACTACTATTCTCTACCATGAAAAATCTAGGTCTGTAAGTTTTGTCTCCCATTTTACCAAACTTTCAAAAATTTGGAAATATCATTAAAGAGATAAAGGAGGAAGCAAGAGGAATGTATCGAACTATATATGTATGTAAAATAAAAATACATTATTAAACCCCCCCCCAAATAATAGGATTCTTTTTTAGTTACCTTCTATAATGTAGATGCACTCTCTGTCAGGAGGATATTTGTTGGGATAATTGGGAGAAGTGAAGATGCCTCCTTCTGCATATTTTGTCCAAGTTCCACACTGCACTGTTTTCTGCCCTTCTAAAGTGGCCTGCTTTTCTATGAAAAGATCATATCAAGCATTAGACAATTATACACAAACTATTTCTTCTGTCATAATTATACTTAGAACTGCTTTAGAAAACTCCTATGAAGTGCCTAACCCTGTATTCATTGTAGCCAGCAGAAGTGTTGCCATTGGCTTTAATAAAAACAGGGATGGGCTTGTTCCTTGTTTCCTTATTCTGAATAACTTTATTCCTTCCTCCAAATAGCTTCCCACTGCAGGGTCAGGTACTAGGTCACCTATTCCCACCTGCCAGTATTTAACATAAATATTTTAGAATTGTTATCAATTCACTTCCAGACAAATACAAATATCTATCTATGTCTATCTATCTATCGTGTATATACACAGACAAACACACATACATATATATATGCACACACATTCACATCTATCTATGATATGTATGTGTTTCTATATATGTATGTGTTTGCGTGTGTATACACACACATATATAAGCATCTAACTGTATATATACATAGCATATATGTATACACACATAAGCACATACATACATGTATATGTGTGTGTATATATATAAAATGTGCCCTGCATTATATTCTTAAATATATAAATATAAAACTTAAAAATAGCCCAAAAATGACATACCTGTTCCTTTTTTTGTCGCCCCAGACAAATGTAGGATGATTAGACTTGCTACAACTAAAAGAGAAACATGTATTAGGTACAGCTGTATGTTTGTGCCTGCAATCAAAGAAACTGTAAAAAAACTCTCACAAGAGAATATAATTTAAAAAGAATCAAAGTACAAAAGTAGTCTGTTTCGTGGCTACTTTACAATATTCTTTTACAAAAGTCTAGTTGTGTTTTATGAGTGTAAGAAATGTACCTAGATATGTTGAACAGAATAGAGACAAAATACCTCTGGATTTAGAGAACTCCGGGTATTCCCTGCCCTCTTTTTCTTTTTCCTTTTAGAGGTTAAAATAAATCACTTGACTTGTAATATTTATTTATGTGCCATGGTTATGTCTGGATCAATGACAGACAGGTGACTGTTACTGATGAAGTGAGAAAGACTGCTAACTATTAGTGGCACAAGTCTCATTACAAGTCTCCTCTTCTGTGAGCAGTAATACTTTTGGAAAAAATAAGCTGTGGCTCTGCAGAAGATAAAGGAAAGGCTCTTCATATCCACCAATGCAACTGCAAACTGCAAAGTGCCGGGCAAAGGAAGTATCCCATATGTTAAAACAAACTGGCTGTTCTGGGGTATTTGAATCTTCCAAAATCAAGTGGTTTTTTGCTATACGGAATCTGGAGCTTTTTCTGCAGCGGAAAATTATTTGAATCTGAACCAAACAACAAAGCTCTCTGCAATCAAGGTAGATGATCTTTGCCTGATGCGAGAAAACCACTATTCCATTACCTGACTCCAAGACGGTGATGCTTCCTAAGATTCTGGGAGCTATAAGCTGTGCCCATAAAGTATATACAGGAACCTATAGACTGGAGTAGGCAAGGAAGGATACTGAGGCTATTGTCAGTGATAGTGTCACTCTTTAGGAGACAAAAGCGATAGATTCTTTAAAAGGTGACTGTTAGATCCTAGATCAAAAAAATCATCTCTTGAAGTTGTCATTCTCTCTGCTTCACCCTATCTTGGATCAGTTTGGGAGGAACCTAGGTTTATAAGTCAGCAATGAACCCATTCCAACAGTACTTCTTTTTTTTTCCCCACTATAGCCTGGAAATACTGCAAACACTTTGCTGACTGCAGGGACTGATGTTCTCCTGTTAATAGATAAAGAGCATGTATCCACCCTGATTATTTTAGCAACTGTCATTTGTACTGCTGATCATGAGGAAAACTTGATTACTTAAACAACAGTATAAACATAGTGGAGTTGTTGCTGAATTACTCGCATTCTTTCTCTGCCCCAAGAAGATTCCAAGGGATACTAATAGCAATGGGCCATCTACCTAAATGATCCTTTCATATAGGGTCTTCCACATCTTCTTATTCTACGTGGAAATGAAATCAATAGGAGGATTGGTAAGGAAGCCCTGCATCTCACACTGCCCTGAGGACATCCAAATCTTTATTTTTATGTCTTCTGACCTATCCACTACCACTGAATGCCTCACAGAGCTTCTGTTGTAAGTGAGGTCTTTCCTTAGATTTGGATTTGCCCAATTGTTTATACCCCAGTTCTCCTCAAGGATGTATAAGATTCCACCTGCCAGTCGTAATGGGCACAGCTGGAACAGCAAGACACAGCTGCTCATTTACTAAGCTGTGTTTCATATATTTTCACCTATGTTCTTCATTAACTGCCAACTAATTTCCAAATGGTATAAGATGTTCTGGTGTACACTATGAAGCTAGCTGTAGAAACTCCCTTATAAACTACTAGCCATTGCAATCTGACACATTCACGTAAGTAAGTTGATGGATAAAAAGGGCAACATCTCTTAATAATTAATTAAAACCTAGAACATTATCCTTTGAAGCAACTTGTGTCTGAAGTCTTCAATGGAATTTTTAATTTTAATACCCCCATTTTACAGGTGGAGGACATGAGGACATGAGAGAAGGAGTGAATTCTTCCAGGTCGTAATAATACCCTGGTATAGGAGGAAAGACAAGGGATCAATTGAGTTCCAGCTGTAACCACTAGAAACAATACTTCCAATTGCATCAATAAAGCTGTTCCAAAGTAGTGAAATGTGCTTACAAATTGACATGCCAGTACTGATTATCAACAGAGTAAAAAGATACATCTGGAATAAAGTACAATGAAATAACTAACAACAACAATAGGCTAAGCCACTTCACACTTAATTCTCATAAACTATATCCAACACCTTTGGATCAATCAATTAAATACTTTTTGCACCTGCCCAACAGAAGTGGTGATTTGTATTAGTGGCATTAAAATCAGAATTACAAAAAGGCTTGTTTTGCCATAAAAACTCATCACTTTCTCCAGCATTTAAAGATTTAGGACTCAACCCCTGAAGACTTAAAGTGTAAGGCTTAGTAATACGTTTCACGCAAGCAGTTGAAGGTTACCCAGTGGAGAGAGTTCTCACAATGAATATATTTATCTCCTAATGGGTCCTGTTCACTGGGTTACAAACTGAATAGCAGTCATGTTAAGCCAAATATAAAATCTACCTTCCATCTCCCACAGCTTTCCTCCTCCCTAGCCCAGAAGCAGTACAATGTGTCCCTTACCAAAAATGCCTCCAAAAACAAACAAACAAACCCCCCCCCAAAAGCCAAAAGGACAGCCTGCAGTCTTTATTCAGGCAAAACTGCTATTCAGATACTCAGGAAGCATTATGAAGCATGGGCAGCAATGCTGGCAATAACACAGGTTGAAGGGGAGAGGGAAAGGAATGAAATCATCATTCCACCTAATTTCTGTGGGTTTGTCCTATCATGTACACAAATACACGCTGCTCCCCTCTTCTCATTCTAATTGCACTTATGCTTGCTAGCATTATTTTGATGATGCATTTGCACACATTTCCACTACAAAGCCACATATAAAGAGCTTTATCAGTGGGCCATAAAACTTGCTCCTAACATAACTGGTCATGCAAGGTCTACCACAATGAAGAGTTAGAGGGGGAGGGGGGGAACAGCCTCTCTAAATAAGACTGCCATTTCATAGGGCCAGAAGTCGATCAAAATAAACAAAACTACTGCAAGAGGCTGCTCCAGAGTATTGCTTCAGTTTAATTCAGCAAGGTCCTCACCCCCACCCAATCTGTTTGGGCTTGCAGGGTTGGGAATAACATTTTTCAGGCCATTAGTCACGCAGTAGAATAAGCCCTTTTTATATTATCACCTAGTCCAAATATTACCTAGTCCAAAGGTATCATCTAGTCCAAATAGTATCACCTATTATCACCTTTGGCTCCTATCTTTGCCTGCTTCTTTCCTGGAATAGGGACTATTCCAAGGCAGGATTGGTGACTACCACTCCTAAGGCTCCAACACTAGTCGTGTTTGGACAGCTCCAGGTTTTGGAGGCATGCTGATGTGAATCGGCAGCCGCACCATCCAGCTCCTACAGGCACTGCTTTGGATGGCAGAGGCCACTGCATCCAAAGAAATTCACCCCCAAGAATAAATCATCGACGAGGCTTTGGCTTCCTTCCCACCGATTTCTGCAACTGAACAGCTCCTATTTCCCAGCACCCTGCACGGATCAGTCCCTGGGGCTACAGAAACCGCAGTGAGGAGGCTGATAAGGGGGAGGGAGTCAACTCGGAGCTGCTCCAGCCCTGTCGTGTCTCACTGTCATGATCACCGTGGGTCCCAGGGACAGCCTGGAGTGATGCCACTGGCAGCAATGGAGTTATGTCACCGGGGAGCACCATTCAGCCCCAAGGCTGGGGACCCCTGGGTTGCAAGCTAAGTGCCAGCAGAGCTGGATCAAGAGTCAAGAGAGATCCACAGGGCTCTCTCCAGCCCTGCAGCTCACCGTCGCAAAAAAACCCAACCAAACAAAAAAAAGTCAGGACAGTTTCCTCTCCTGCCCTTGATCTGGCAAGCTGGCACCTCACCCTTGCATATGCACGAAGGCTCAAGCTTCACAGCCCCAAGAACCGACAACTGCAAAGAAAAAGCAGCTGCCTGCGCCCTTGTGAAGTCCAGGATCCGTCCACTCCCATCCTGCCTTCCCTCTCCTGCCACCAGCACTGCATTGGGAGGCAGAGAAAGTTCCCCCCCCCGTGCCCGCCTGTCTCAGCCTCCCGCTTGAACTGGCACCACTGGGCTTGGAGAAAAGAAGAAGAGTTGCCCAGAAGAGCAGGGTGGGGGGGGAGAGAAGATACTTACTGTGAAACAAACTGCGCCCATGGACCATGTCTGTTCCTTACACAAGGGGCTTCGATCTCCACTAATTCCATTTAGAGACGGGAGGACTTCCAGTGGTGGGCAGAGGATGGAGTAGAAGAAAAGAAAAGAGGGGGAAAAAAAAAAAAGCAAACCCCACTGGAGACCACACACAGGCGCGCGCACACACAAGTGGATCAGCTCTGCCTCTCTCGCCGCCTTCAGATAATTCCCAGCACCATCGCAGTCACATCACGCCGGGGCTCTCAGCAGCACCCCCGGAATCTTTGGATCACAGCGGCCGCGGCGACCCTGGAGCCCGGCGGGGAGGCTGCATGGCTGGCGGAGACGGACGGACGGACAGACGGAGATCGCGGAGCAAGCCCCCGGCAAACGGCACATCCAGGTGCAGGGGAAGAGGAGGCAGCAGCAGCAGGAGCAGCAGCTGGGGGGGGAGGGGGGTGGCTCTGACAACCCCCCTAATCACCAGTTTCATCCAAGACCAAGAGCAGAGCGAAGCATCTCCTGGAGGATGGCGAACCCGGCGCTGTCCAGCCCTTTGGGGTCTTTTGATGCATCGAAGAAGGGATTAATGGGTCCGTCATCAGCTCCCTCGGCTTGCTCTTCTGGAGGGGTGGGGAAGGGGGG